ATCACCGGCGCCGTCGCCTGAACCTCGCCGGAATCGGCCGTTCATTGGCCGATTGCTTTCGGTAGTTTCTTTCCTTCTCTTTTTCTTCCGTTTTTCTAACTATTACGTGTCTAGTGCCACGTGTTTAGTAGATCAAAGTATGCGAGGTGAAATCCGAGAGGAGAAAGATCGAAGATCGAAGAATCGAGGAGCAGCACACGAGCCGAAGCCGCACGCAACCCCACGCGCCGCCCGAAGACTGCGCTTGAGTTACACGCGCCGCCGTGGCCGTCTCGCCGCTGCACCGCTGCTTTACCGGATTGTACGGATTGGTTTCCGTAGCAATCTCGACTTGCTTAGCGCTCCTACCTCACGCTTCAAGAGGTAAACACACGAATCTCATGTTTTGATTCGTTTACGTTTAAACTATATATTCATGTTTGCTTTCGTATGATTTTATGTGATTACGTGTAATCGTTTTAATCGTTGCGAGCATGTTGGTTGGTTTAAACGCGAGCATGTTAATTGATTTAAATTCAGTTAAACAATTTAGCATGTATGTTGTTTTTAATTTCGCTGGAAGCGGAAAGGTACGCAATTAATTGATTTAATTTATCGGGCATGTGTTTATGTGCTTTAAAGTTGTTTAAATCGCATAAAATTTTTGTTTTCTGCTGCGTACACGTGTCCGATTCCCAACATACCCCACAAAATAGCATTAGTCGGATTTACTATCCAACTTGTCTCCTACTGATCGCGTCACATAAGCGGGACAACCCCATATCCTAATATGTTTGTAGTCGGGTTTCCGGGAATGCCAAAGTTCATAAGGTGTGGATTTAACTGCTTTGGTGTTAACTCTATTCAGCAAATACGCGGCAGTGCGAAGTGCATGACCCCACAAGTATGCCAGTAAGTTTGTGAACCCCATCATAGATTGAACCATATCCAATAAAGTTCGATTCCGACGTTTGGAAACTCCATTAAGTTGAGGAGTTCCCGGTGGAGTCCATTGAGATTGTATCCCATTCTCTTTTAGATAGTCAATGAACTCGAAGCTCAAGTACTCTCCACCACGATCGGATCGCAGCTTCTTAATACTTCGTACCCATACCTAGAATAATCGTCGGTAAAGGTAGCGAAGTAGTTGTATCCACCCTTCGCACTAACACTTAGTGGACCACATACGTCTGTGATGCAGGCCAAAACCCACAACGGGAAAAAGATAGAAAATGATAGGTGACCGGGAATCACTCAACCGGCGGCAGCGGACTCACTCGACGCTACTAATCATGGAATCACTCAACGCGATCAAGTCACTCACTTGTTTAAAGAGGAATCACTCACTCTCAATGCAATTAACTTGCAATATATTTTTAAACTTAAACAATCATGCTAATTTTATTCATGGATAGGGTTTATATAGGTGTTTTGGAACATCCCTCCAAACATAGGAAGTTACACCTTGAATGACTTCACAACTTCTTATTCTAGAAAAATAAATAAACTTGACCTTGACTCATGAAATACATAGAATATGACCTGATTAATGGATAACAAGATGAATAATTCGAACTTAGACTAATAAAACAAGTAGAACACTAGGAAATACCAAAAGACACAAGACCTTCGGATTTCCCGAGTGCAGTTAGCAGGTTCTAGAACATTGAGCATAACTCCATCCTCGGACCTTTGTTTCGTAAACCGTTTTTTTTGTTGGAAACTAGACTTCCAGAGCTTTCTAACCCTATATGGCACGAAATTTATATCCTTGTCAATGAAATCAGTTTATTCGACAAACTTGAACCTTCTGCCGCATCATTCTCCCCCGGTTGAAAAGAACTCGCCCTCGAGTTCGAATGGAGATCGAACCAAAGCGAAGGACTGATAGTCTTCAGCTCCTCTCCAGAGATCCATGAATCATCCGAACTTGGTTTACCGTTTCAATGAACAAGATATTGAGTGTAAGAACCTCGACGAGTAGTAATGGTCCTCGTATCCAACACATCAATAGAATCTTGAACGAAATTGTCGGAGAGGGAAAAAACTGCGTCCACTGCTATAGTGGACTCAACCTCATCACCATGATATGTGTATAAATCACTGGCATTAAAAACGGGACTGATTTTCATACCATCAGGAAGTTGTAGACGATAAGCATTAGGACCAAGTTTCTTAACGATCCGACACGGACCGAACTTTCTTGGCTTAAGCTTGTTGTAGCTGCCTGCTGGAAATCGCTCCTTGCGAAGATAGACCATGACTAAGTCACCTTCGTCAAACTCCTTTTTCCTCCTATGAGCATCCGCCATGGACTTATAGAGTTGAGATGCCCGATGTAATTGCTCACGAACTTGCTTGTGAACATGCTGGATATGTGTGGCAAATTCCTCTGCGTCCATGCTAATGTGGGTCTGTTTTGCCATAGGTACAAGATCCAAAACATGATGTGGTTGCAGCCCATAGACCACTTCAAAAGGTGTCTTTTTAGTTGATCGATTCAAAGAACTATTGTAGGCAAACTCAGCTTGTGGAAGAACAACCTCCCATCTCTTCGGGTACTCTCCAACCAAACTCCTAAGCATATTGCCAAGTGATCGATTTACCACTTCCGTTTGGCCATCTATTTGTGGATGACAAGTGCTGGAAAAATTGAGTTGAGTCCCCAACAAACCCCAAAGCGTTTTCCAAAAATTACTCATAAATCGTACATCACGGTCAGATGTTATGGACTTTGGGACTCCACGTAAACGCACAACCTCTCGAAAGAATAAAGTGGCGACTTGAGAGGAGTCAGTAGAGCTCTTGCATGGTATAAAGTGAGACATTTTAGAGAAGCGATCAACCACGACGAAAATACTATCTTTGCCGTGTGGAGTTCTCAGCAAACCAAGAATGAAATCCATGGAGAGGTCTTCCCATGGAGCGTTCGGTACAGGCAGAGGTTGGTACAACCCCGTGTTTTGTGAAGTTCCCTTCGCCCTTTGACAAATGCCACACCGCTGAACAAAGTGTGTGACGTCCCGCTTCAAAGAAGACCAGAAATAACGTTCTTTAACGAGTGCTTCAGTCTTATCTCACCCAAAATGGCCTCCAAGTCCGCCACTATGCAGTTCTTGTATTATGAACAAGCGTAATGACCCTTGTGGAACACAAAGTTGGCTACCCGTGAACAAATACCCATTCATCTGCAAATATTCAACAGTTGAGTTGTCTTTTAACTGGCGTAACACCTTGGAAAAGAATGGATCAGCTTCATATTGTTCAGGCAGAAGATCAAAGCCGACAATATTATAAGATAAAGTAGTAAGCAAGCTATATTTTCGGCTCAATGCATCAGCAACTTTGTTCGAAGTCCCATCTTTGTGCTTCAACACAAAGCTGAATTTTTCCAAGTAAGAAACCCACCCAGCATGTCTTGAATTCAATTTCTTTTGCGCCTTCAGAAATCGCAGCGCGTCATGGTTTGAATAGAGAACAAATTCTATGCCAATAAGATATCCTTCCCAAGGACGCAAAGCTCGAACAACGGCATAAAGTTCTTTGTCATAAGTAGAATATTTTAGCTTTGAGCCGGTTAGCTTTTCACTAAAATAAGCAACGGGCCTCTTTTGTTGCATGAGTACAACGCCTACTCCAACATTAGAAGCATCACAATCAACTTGAAAAGGTTTAGAGAAATCGGCTAAAGCCAAAACCGGTGCTGCAACAAGTTTAGACTTTAAAAGTTCAAAACTCTTGGCCGCTTCACTTGTCCATAGGAACTCCTTTTGTTTCACTATGTCCATTATAGGCGCAGCGATAGTGTTGAAATCCTTAATGAAACGTCGATCAAAGGAGGCAAGTCCATGAAAGCTCCGAACATGGGTAAAATTCTTTGGAGTTGGCCAATCAAGGATTGCTTGAACTTTGCCTTCATCCATCTTTAAGCCTGCTGCACTTACAACATATCCCAAAAAGATGACGTGATCGGCCATGAAGGTGCACTTCTTCAAGTTAATATACAACTGGTTGGCATTCAAGATCTTGAACACATGCTCCAAATGCTCAAGATGATGATCTTTGTTGTTGCTGTAGACCAAAATATCATCAAAATAAACAACAATAAATTTTCCAATTAATTCCTTAAGCACGTGAGTCATAAGCCGCATGAAAGTGCTCGGAGCATTGCAAAGACCAAATGGCATAACTAGCCATTCATATAACCCATACTTGGTTTTAAAAGCAGTTTTCCATTCATCACCAGCCCTTATTCTTATTTGATGGTATCCGCTACGGAGATCAATTTTAGAATAAATATTTGCCCCCACAAGCATATCAAACATGTCATCTAATCGAGGGATAGAGAATCTATATTTGATAGTAATTTTGTGTACGGCCCTACTATCAATACACATTCGCCACGTACCATCCTTTTTTGGTGTTAAAAGGGCAGGGACAGCACAAGGACTTAGTGACTCTTTAATATGTCCTTTAGCTAGTAATGCTTCTACTTGTCTTTGCAATTCAGCATGCTCCTTAGGTGTCATTCTATAATGAGGCAAGTTAGGAAGAATAGCACCTGGGACAAAATCGATTTGGTGTTCGATGCCGCGAGCTGGAGGTAGACCACTTGGAAGTTCGCTAGGAGCCAAGTCTTTGAACTTTTCCAATAGCTTCCCAACAGCTGGTGGAACGTCGCCATAATTATCATCGCTTGTTTGAACAGCCACCAAGGCGTACATAGCATCTTCTTCCTTGAAATCGTTGTAACATAACAAGTGTACTTCACTTTTGGAACATATGCTACTTGGTGCATCTCTCAATGGAAATAAAATATAATTTCTCCCATTTTTTAACACGGAGTAAGTATTCTTTTTGCCATCGTGCTGCACATTTCGATCGAATTGCCATGGTCTTCCCAAGAGAAGATGACAAGCATCCATCGGGAGGACGTCAAAGTACACTTCATCTTCGTACTTGCCAACGGAGAATTTAATGCGACTTCTTTGAGACACTAGGACCTCTCCACCTTTTTTGAACTATGAAACTTTGTATGGCTTCGGATGGTTCTCGCACTTCAAGTTCAGCTTATCAATCATAGTCCGAGAGACCATGTTTTCGCAACTTCCAGCATCGATCATCAAAATACACTTTTTGCCTCCGGAGAGACAATGTGTGCGAAAAATGTTATGGCGAAGCCATAGGTCGTCTTTCTGGACCGACATCAACCTTTGAATAACAAGACTTTCTGCATCACAGTCAGGTTGGCAATATTCCTCGTTTGATTCGCGCTCAAAATCGTCGTCAAAGTGTGGAATACTGTCTTCTTCACCATGTTGGTCTTCCGTGACAAGATGAATTTCAGCATTCTTTTTTGGACACTCGTATGCTTTATGGTCAGGTTCGCCACACCGAAAGCAGGGCTTTCCACAAGGTTGTGACGACTTTCCACGGTCCTTGCTCCATTGCCCAGTACTTTGGTTTGAAGTCTTAGTTGGTGATGGTGTACTGTTATGCGATTTAGCACTGCCTTTTGGATTGAAAGATTTAGAACTTTCGCTTTTCCTAAACGAGCTCCACTTTAGTTTCTCTTCCGCCTTAAGAGCCATCTGGTACGCTTCCGCAAGTGAATTGAAACAAAGCAAGAAAAGTTCTCCACGAATTGAACTCTTCAAACCAGCCACGTAGCGGGCAACAAGTTGGTCATTGCTGTCATAAAGCTCAATTCGACTCATTAATTTGTAGAACTCTTCTGTGTAGCTTGCTACTGATTGATCTACTCGTTGCCGCAACAAATGGAACTTTTGGTACAAGGTTTGATTATAATCCAGAGGTAGAAACTTTTCGTCCATCATCAACTTCATTTCGAGCCAAGTAGCAACTCGTGGTAGCCCTTTCCTTTCTCTGCTGCGTTGGTATTGTTGCCACCAAATAAGTGCGTGACCCTTTAACTTCGTAGCGACTAGTTGGACTTTTCTTTGCTCGGTGAGATTTTTCCACTCAAAGAGAGCCTCAAGAGAAGCTTTCCAATCACAATATTCTTCCGGGTTTAGTTTGCCGTCAAAATCAGGCACCACAACCTGAATTGTCTTCAAGTGCTCTCGCCAAACGATCCACCGCTGTATCGTTTCGTCCAGCATAAGGATTTTCAAGACCACTAGTTGAACATGATGAATCGTCGAGCTCCCCATGGGCTTCGTTCCCAAAAGTCTGAGAGTTATTTCCTCTACTTCGAGGAGGAGAATTTTGTCGTGCCAGAAGTTCATCTACCCTTTGCCGAAGTTCAGCAATTTCTGCGTGGATATTGACTTCGACAATATTTCTTCGGCGACGCGGCGGCATTTTATTTGATCAGAGTATGAGCAACAGCGTGACCTGACTGATACCACTTGATGCAGGCCAAAACCCACAACGGAAAAAAGATAGAAAATGATAGGTGACCGGGAATCACTCAACCGGCGGCAGCGGACTCACTCGACGCTACTAATCACGGAATCACTCAACGCGATCAAGTCACTCACTTGTTTAAAGAGGAATCACTCACTCTCAATGCAATTAACTTGCAATATAATTTTAAACTTAAACAATAATGCTAATTTTATTCATGGATAGGGTTTATATAGGTGTTTTGGAACATCCCTCCAAACATAGGAAGTTACACTTTGAATGACTTCACAATTTCTTATTCTAGAAAAATAAATAAACTTGACCTTGACTCATGAAATACATAGAATATGATCTGATTAATGGATAACAAGATGAATAATTCGAACTTAGACTAATAAAACAAGTAGAACACTAAGAAATACCAAAAGACACAAGACCTTCGGATTTCCCGAGTGCAGTTGGCAGGTTCTAGAACATTGAGCATAACTTGCTCCTCGGACCTTTGTTTCGTAAACCCTTTTTTTTTTTGTTGGAAACTAGACTTCCAGAGCTTTCTAACCCTATATGGCACGAAATTTATATCCTTGTCAATGAAATCAGTTTATTCGACAAACTTGAACCTTCTGCTGCATCAATCTGTGTGGATCAAATCCAAAAGGCCCTCGGCTCGTTCCATTTTCCCTTTGTAGGGTGACTTGGTCATTTTCCCTTTAAGGCAAGATTCACAAGTTTGTAGTGATTTCACGTCCTCCAAAGAGAACAATCCTTCAGTAACAAAATTGTTCATCCTTCTTAAAGAGACATGACCTAATCTAGCGTGCCAAAGTTGTGCGAGGTTTTGATCTATCTCCTTACGTTTTGCTGATATAACATTAATAGGTATTTCATTTGGATTTAGTTCATACAAGTTGTTTAACAGTCGTCCTTTGCAAATCAAATTCTCATTCTTTTGTATAATGCAAATCGAATTTCCAAAAACAAAAGTAAAACCTTCAATACCTAATACGGGAATAGAAATAAGGTTTCTAATAAGGGACGGAACAAATAAACAATCGTTCAAAACAATAGGAAAACTAGAATCCAAAACATTTAAGTAAATCGTGCCAATGGCTTCTGCAACAACTCTTGCTCCATTCCCCATCCTTAGGTAGGTCTCACCCGCTCTAAGCTTTCGACTTCTTGTCATTACCTGCAAATCATTGCACAAATGTGAGCCACAGCCCGTATCCAATACCCAAGAAGAAGAATTGACAGACAAATTTACGTCAATGAAATACGTACCCTTTTCAGAACTTTTCTGCTTTAGGTAAGCCTTGCAGTTGCGGTAATGTCCTTTCTTTCCACAATGATGGCAAGCATCATCAACTTGCTTGCTGACCTTTTCCTTGGGGCCCCCACTACCTTCACCCACTTCGAACTTGCTGTTTGGGAAGGGAACTCTTTCTTTTCTCTTCTTTTGGGAAGAACTCTTCTTTCCAGAAGTAGCAGCAATGAGAACAGACTTCTCTTTCTTAATGGTGGACTCGAAACTGACCAACATGTTCATCAACTCATCCAAGGGAGGATCTAGTTTGTTCATGTTGAAGTTCACTATGAACGATTCATACGAACTAGGAAGAGACAACAGGATCAAATCCAACGAGAGCTCGGCCGGGAGGGTGACATCGAGATTCACTAGCTTTTCAAGGAGAGTGATCATTTTGAGACAGTGCTCGTGGACCGAAGTCCCTTCGCGCAGTCTCGCCGTGATCAACACCTTTGTAGCAGCGTACCTCGATGCCCTAATATTCTCACTATACATGCTATCGAGATGAGCCTTTATATCGAAAGCATGCATGTGAGACTCATATTTCCTCGCAAGCGCGGGCTCCATGGCGGCTATCATATAGCACCTAGCATGTGTGTCATCTTTCTTCCATGCTTCATAAGTTTCCTTTTCAGCATCAATCGTTGTGGCAGGTATAGTGGCGGGAAGTCTCTCGTTGCCCCTCAACGGTTAGCACAAGCTTAAGACTACGCAACCATTCTAGGTAATTAGGGCCATTGAGTTTATTGTCGAGGATTGACATTATAGGATTCTTAGACATGATTATCTGAGAGGTATAGAGAAAAGGATTATTAGAGATTCGCGTTAAATGATTGTTACAATTAAATGTTTGGCCTTATGTTATTTAATTGTTCTCCCACTAATTTTATCGAGTTCCACTTCCCTTTAGTAGACAAACGAGAAAACAATTTTTTCTTAATGGGCTTTAGGTCCAATAGACAAATATCACCCGTAGTTAATCCAGCCCGATTATATTTGCCCAAAGGTAGATCACAATCAATCATATCCACAATATGACCCTAAATTTATTTTCCTCACACTTGATAATGACCTAAGTTAATCTCGCGAATATCAAAATCGTCGTGTGTCCAGTCTAACCTACCAATCAAAGATGCTCATAGAACTTGAATATGCCAAACTAATGCAGTCCCTAGTTAATCTAGCCGACCACGTTAATCTAGCATAACCCTTTTCTACGGCTACCTTCATCGCTATGTCAATTGAATTACAACTTACTCTACCATAGCACTCCCCGCTAACACGGCTTACTGCACTATAGTAAAGGGCTACACATAACTCAACCGTTGGCAGAAGGAAAGAAATAACTCAACATATTGGGTTTTTCTTTATAGCTTGATATGATTCTTAATTATATTAAGAATGAGAGATTTTTATTAAAAAGTTTTATCTCATCAGAAGGTTCGGATTGGTCTATGTGATTCCTATATCTATGTTCTCTAAAGGTATATGGAAACGCATATTGTCCTAAGAGAAACATACGACCTAACTACATAATTAATTACATTAATTAATTATCGAGTTTTTCAAAATAATTATAGAACCTCAACTAGC